GCTGTTTCATGCAGCTAATCTTGAAAGTCAAAAGGCCTTCATTCAATGACTGGCACCTGTTTGGGTGTGGTTCGCATCTTACAATTCTCAACACCTCGTTGCTATCTTATGAAAATATAACGAAGCCGTTAATGTTGAATACCAACGTAATGCTGCTTGAGTTTCGTGCTGAGATAACTTTCTTGCTGACGCACACATGAACTGTTATCTTGTCTCGTACTGCTAACGGCAGAATTCTACAGAATGTTTTGGAGTATTTCAATAAATCATTTAAACAACGTCCTGTCAAGCTAATTAAAATTTAAACAACGCTGTTTCGACTGGCTATTTTTCGCAGCCAGTTGAGTTTTTTTTAAAAGTGTTTCACGGCCAATTGCTCCAGTTCAGTTGAAAGCGCTGGTCGTATATAATCCAACTACAGACCGCTGGTTCATTCAAGGCAGTTCACTCAAAGCTACGGAAGTGAAGTAAGTCAAAGATGATCCTCAAATTGCTGGGGTCACGTTTATTGTCTACGATAGCGGGTAAACCTGATGAGAACATCCTCTTCGATGACAAATTTTACCGAGCAAAATTAACTTATGCGCTGATAAAAAGTAATTTTTAGCAACTTGAAGTTAAGTCAAACTGAGAATATTATAGAGCCGTAAACAAATTGGATTTCGTACTGTATGGTTTGCAAGCTATCAAGACTCTGTTCGTGAGTGTTTTTTTGGTCATGTTTTTATTGATAATTAATTGTGTCATTCTCGATTTTGCTCGCCGATCAAAGTCTTACTATTTATGTAACTATTTCTGTAACTGCTGACACTGGTCTGTAAAAATGTATATTGATAGTTCGGTGTGCAGCTGCATCATATCCGATGTCTTTTAATTTGTTGATAAAACTGGGTTGAAGTCACTATAAACATATTAACTATCGATCTGTACGGACTCTTCACTCGCTTAGTTTCGCATGTTATCCAAACTCCATACTGATGTCAGCGGTCAAGATATCTCTCAGGAAAACCTCACATGCAAATGGCTCGGTGGTTGAAATTCGTCGGAACAAGTGCGGGTTTTGTCAAATCGTGAAAACCTCGAAAAAGCAAAGTATTCGACAAATTTAACCTCGGCGACGCGTTCATTAGCCTGCGAACGTAGACGTATTTCCGGCTGTCGCTTGTCTCCGCCGAAAATAACGTCTGCGAACCCGAGCCAGGAAACGATTTCTGTGACGTAATGACTTTTGTTTCTCCTTCGCCAATCATATTCCATGATGGAATGAAACTCGAGTGCTCCTTCGCAGCGAATACCTCGCGCAGTAGTTCTGGGGCTACTTGAGCTAACCTGTGATTGGCTTAAAATTCATACGTCACAGAAATCGTTTCCTGGCTCGGGTTCGCCATGGATAGTAAAGAGACCCAGTCCTCTATTATCCATGGGTTGCAGACGTTATTTTCGGTAGCCTGCGAACAGGCTCCCGGTGAGCCCGAACGAAGCGCCCGCCCCTATCGCTTTGCTCTCCGAATTCTTCTGTTTCGCGCTCGCCGAAATTTTTTTCCGTCCTCACCGAGAGCCTGTTCGCAGGCTATATTTTCGGCGGAGATAAGCGACAGCCGGAAATACGTCTGCGTTCGCAGGCTACGCGTTCATTTCCCTTGCGAAAGGATTTTGTGAGACTCTAGCCCTTTCCAGGGAGGGAGGAGTTGGAAGGGGAGAGCTCTGTCTCCCTTTCCCTTCCCACTCAGCTTGAAATAAACAGGGCTCACGTTGGAGAAAGTTAGAATAATCAAATTCCACTTTACACAATGGTTGAGATCGCCCTGCTAATAATTTTTCTTGCTTTACCTGGTAATAGCGATACCTCGACAAAATCGGAAAAATAGTGCAAAAGCAAACAAATTTGGTTCATACCAGCTAAACAATTCACCTACCATATGATATTTTGGGACTTCTATACTATTTACCGTGTTCAAAGGTATTTGCGCGTACCAGACCCAAGACTTCACATAACCAGGCTTCCTTTACGGAAAAAGTTTACGTTTTTACTTACTTTAGTATTTCTCGACAACCTGCTAAATCTCCTCCTATAATTTCCAGCAGTAATTCCCAGCAGGAACATTCCTGGGCTAATGTAAAACTGTTTCTAATTGGTCCATTTTTGCGTCACAGGTTCTTTGAAGCGATCCTATTGGCCAGTGTAAGAGCAACCGCGGCGCTTGTAGTGGCGGGAACACAGACCTACATTGCTCTCGCCGGTTCGATTACTTTTCAGTCCTCAGTGCGGGAAAGTTAAATCGTTTTATGGAAAAACCACACAGGTAAGTTCAACAGTTTGCTTAATTTCAAGAAATAACAAAGATTCTCTCAGAAGGCACAGAAGGAAACGCTGTACTTTCTCAAATAAAAAATTAATTGCGCAAGGCGAGTATCAGAAAAATTTGGTCACCATATCGATCAAGCAAGCTTATACTTCACTTTCTCCGGCACTCAACGTACCACATCAGGAAAAAAGGAGTGTAAGATGCTTTTTCTCTTTTCAGAGACGGTTGGACACAAAATTCAGGATCTTGATTTAAGCTAAACCTTGCATGCAACTGGGATTAAAGTCAGGGATCAAAAGTTTAAGACTTATTCACTGGCTTCACAAAACCATCCGAAAACAAAGCCCATGAAAACAATAAGTTTACGTTTGATTAACATTTCCTTTCTGTATTTTAAGTTTTTCAAGTTTCTTTGGCGTAGTAGCTTGTCAAGGGGACAAACTGAGGCATATGAATTATTAATCGAGTCAAAGAGTATTTAGCCTCAAGAATCGAGAGAAATTCACACCGACATGTTTTGAAGCGGAAAATCAAAGTCGATAGCTTGTGTTCTTTGGCAAGTTTACAATGAGATGGAGAAAAGTAGGACGCTGTTCCAGGCCATTGGAGCAGAAAAACCCAAACTGAGTGTAATCGTAGAGTTCTGAATTCAATCTACTCTACAGATTTGTCATTGCCACTGAATACGATTTTAATTAAATCGTTTCAGGAGGGAAAGAAACTTTTGTAAGCTTATAACCAAAACAGTAATTTACTTGTTATTCTATAAAGTATTAATTAGGTTTGCTCCAACTGAAAAGTAAAAGTTTACTTAATTATAAAGTTATTTTTGGAATCACTCAATGCATGGGCTTTCCATTGACAGTGTTTGAGTTATTTGAGGTAAACAACATAACACTCTTTTAATTTTATGTCAGTATATTATTTGCCGCTGCAATTAACAAAGAAGGTCAGATACAACCAATAAAAATTTCCGTGTTCTTTTCAAGCTCAAATGCCGGTTTTGTTAGCTAAAACACGAAACTGTCATCGGCATAGTTTGGAAGTCTAATGTATCCAGCAGAAATAAAAAATTCTGAGATTGACTTCTAGGATTTTCGAGGAGCTTATTGTGAAAATTTAAAACGCCCATAGATTTAGCTATCTTGTATTTCGGAGATATGTGAGCGTATATCTACAAAATTATTGTTGCTAAACTGCACAGATAGCATCGTAGTAATTTTTTTTGTTTTAGCTTTTTAGCCAAACTTGTCAATGGCGCTATTGCTGGAGTGGTGGGAGTTACCTGTACTTTTCCGTTGGACCTTTGTAAAACAAGACTGCAGGATCAGAGAAATCTTGGAGCTCAAAAACACTACAGAAACTTGTAAGTCGACATTTTTACAGTTGAATTATAGATCGCAGTTTTGGCAGCCACTGAAGATGGCTCATGATCCGAATTATTTTAAACTAGGGTGTTTTCACGTATTCAGCAGTAGCATGGTAAATTTATTGTCAGGCTTACCTTCTTGTCGAAAGTGAAATTCGAGATGGATGGAAACTAGACCATATAAAATAATGGCGATTGTGCCTTCAGTAGTCAGCAGAGGGAGGGCTTCAAAAGATCAGTGCACAGTACCATGCAACGAGAGTAGTGGGTGTTAGTGGTAAAATAGGGGGGAGGTGTTGCGTATCATCTTCGACCGTCAACGCACATGATTTTAGTGCACTTGTAAAGGGTGAAAACCCAATGGATAACTGAAAAGGCAACCTTCAAATGAACTGAGAATGCGGCGACAGGTCAGCGCTCCTTCAGGCGCTTATATGGTTCACCGCATTAATCGAACACTGCTTTAACGTTGAGTTAAACTATTGTTTATTGTTTCCTTTTTTAGAGCGGACTGTTTATGGAAAGTAGCAAGAGCAGAAGGAGTACAGGGCTTATACAAAGGTAAAGAGTCCAGGTACTATTAGTGTTTGAAAAGTCTCAACAATTCCGGGTCAAACTGAACCGTTCCAAGACCACATGTGGAAAGGACAGCCTGCGTGCTTTATAAGCAACTTACTGCAATTGTATCCAAAATCGCCTCCAGACCACTTAAATATCCAAAAAAACCGTTCTTATAGTCTATACAGCACCGAGGACGTGGTACAGTTGATAGGATACCTCGTGGGATCATGGACTCTACTTGAGTCCACTGCAAAAGCTAAATGGGCGGTTGCTAAAGGTTATCCAGGTTCATTCAAATTTACCGGACCATCGGAATATAGACCAATTGATTATAATTAATACTTTTAAATCTGAAGAATTGAGTTTTCTGGAAGAAATTAATTCCAAATAAGAACTCACCACCAACATCAAACTACATATCTATTAGATATGATTTGTAGACTCAGTACCGAACGGTTGGANACTTTCAAACAAAGAAACAAATCTTTTTTCTCAAATTGTAAATAATGGTGGAGATATGTAACTGGTTTACTTACAACTGGGAGGATGAGCCAAAAGTAAAAGAGTTGTAAACCACTCAGCTACAAATACGATAGAAATTCGATAGAGCTACGATAGAACATCACAAGAATGAATAAAGTTCAACCCCTTGAGCAATGATGTTCTTAAATAATAAACAAAGGTTATCTCATCTTGAAGTTCTTGGTCGTTTCTTATTCTAGGGAGTTAGCGTCTATAAGTCAGCGATATGGATGCATAGTAACAGAATAGAATGGGAGAATGACAATGACGATAAACTCTCCCGCCAAAGGTGTCTGGTTTTTAATGACACTTCTTTGTCAGTCACTTACAAAACTGATACCACTGGGATTGCCTGAGATTTTTCAACCAAAGCATCTGTTGAAATTGGGCTTGTCCGGGCGTACCAGTGGTCGAGGGAAGCTAACATATGGTAGAACATAAACAAACAAAGAACAACGAAACCGAACCAAAAAGAGTGAAATGCTACGAGTTTAGCTGCCAAATTTAAACATGCCGCTTTGAAAACGTGTTTTGCAATGTCTAAACCTAAAATAGAGATTTAGTGAGAGATCTGAAAAGGTTTGAGAGTAGGTCGACCTTCCTTTCTACAGATCTTCTTACACAATCAAATAAACCTACTCAAATCGAGAATGATCATGCAAGTTAGCAGCTGACGCACATATGCACGCCCTTCCTGAAAGGCAAACGTGACGTGTAGGTGCGATTATAGGGCTGTGAATTTCAGTGGCAGTTTTAGTGTTAAATCTGACAAGTTAGTGACAGGAAAGCCAGGGTGTTACAACCCCGGACAGAACTAGTTTAGAGATAAATCGGAAAAGTATCTACATTTTTCTGCTACGCTGACTTAAATCCAAAGCGTTGCTCAATGATTAGTAGTTATCCCGCTTCCTTTAGCACAAGAGTTCTGTGCGTTGGTTTTCAGTCCACAACAACATTGAATGGGGTTTGGGATTCGGAAGGGAGGTGACGTGGTTTGATTGCATCATAGTGTCGCACACAACACTGACAAAACTGTCCCGACAGTTTCGTCCAGGGTTGTACTTGTAGGTTGAGCATAGCTATTACATTCATGTCTCATTAAACAAATGAGATCAACAAAAAGGGAGCAAAGCTAATGTGACATTTTCACTGAAGAGAAAAAAGTGTCAAACTAATAATGCACATGGCTATTATTTTTTTTAATTTCATTTATCACATTAATTTCGAGATTTATTTTCAGATCAAGGACTGACTCACAAACCCAAAACAAAACCGGCGTTACACTTCTGTTCACCATCATACGAACGTAAAAAAAAGAAACAGTTTTAGAAGATTGAAACATTTCTAGTGAAAAAAACAAAAAAAACAACAAACAAATATGGAAAAGAACACTAAACACACCCACCCTATTTTTGATAAAAATTCTCAACTTTCCAACAAAAGCTGTATACCCCAGCCCTAAGCAATGAACGAATATACACACTCTTTTTCTACTATCGACAGATCAAAAGAACTCATAGATTAAAGAAATTCTATATTCAAGAAGAAAGTCAACAATCAAAAAAACAAGGCATCAGTCCAAGAATACCCTCCGTGTGTTTTCCCCAAACAATGTCTCTCTTATTTCTGGCATCATCTGCAAAGGAAGTGGAAGAAATAATTACAACCGTAACTCAAAAAGGAACAAACGTGTCTGTGGACAGAGTTCTACATACAAGTGAATACATGAAAGATCATAATCATTTCTTATTTTTTATAAAGAATGTTTAATATCGGAGAATATTCTTTGTATGGAAATTAAGTTTCCCCCAATTATTTTCCAGTCATGTGCTTTTTGTTTTTCATGACAAAGTATTATTAAACTTAAACTTAAACTTTTAGCTCGAGCAAAGAAGCTCGAGTAAAGGAACATCTTTCCATGTATTCGTCAACTCACAGTTAATTGAAATTAAGTATGGTCAGCTGTTCATGAACATTGCCAGCTCATGTGACATTCAGTGGATTCTAGCAAAACAAAAGTTCTTGCCACGAAAAGCAACACGTTCAAACGTCGCACATGGGAGGAAAATGAGTTTCGATTACGTAAGCCCTCTCTTTGAACAGAGACAATGGCTTCGAATTAGCCAGCATCTATGACACCGTTTTAGCCCTCTCGAGACCATAATGGACATCATATAACCCCTTTGTGGCTGACGAAGTTCGGTGGAACCGAACGAAATATCCCACTTTGACTAAGCCTTTTAATTGCGCTCTGAGTAGAGAAATTATTTTTTAATATATGTTTTAAAATATCTTCATAAAGTCCTACATACCTGTCTACTCATCATTTCCAAACGGCTCTCTAAGGTATTGACAACTTTAATCCGGCCTTGTTTGGCTAGCAATTCAACACCACCAGCACTGTGACAAAACAAGTGTATGTAAAACAAATGTACTGCAGCCACTATTGCCAGTGGAACCTAATCAATACACCACCACCTTCATTGCAGTCAGTCATTATTTTACTAGACAATCTTTTAAGTATGGCCACCACATTACTTTAAACGGCCACATCGTTGTGACCTGCTCGTGGCCACTCTAACAGACTATTAGAGAAAATGTTGATGGTAGTACTGAAACTGGGCTTGGATACCATCTCCAGACTACATCTACTATGTAGAGCAAGTAAAAACGTCCAACCTTGGGGTAAACATATACCTTTCTGGCCCCAGTTGTTCGAAAGGTGGATAACGCTAGCCACTGGATAAATCGCTATCCAGTTGATAGTGTGGTTTGTTTTGTCAACACTTATCTACTGAATAGTGAACTTCAACAAGATTTTAACAGTGACTAAAAACTCACAAAGCAACAAACCACTGCTAATATTATTTTCACGATCGCAAGGTCTGTATTCTGGCACGATACCCAGGTCTGAGGTTATACTAAAGGACAAGTAGACATGAAATACATGATAGCCCACTTTATGGTTTCCAACAGGAACAAAATCCTTGCTGTTGAAGTAAAATATTATGATGTTGCTCCAGTACAAGCTGCCCTTAATTAGTTCTTTTAATAAGTTTTTCATGTGTCTGGCAAATGCCATCCTCAGTAGTGTAATATTAATGTAATCTGAATTTACCAGAATGATGTACAGATGGGCTCTCATGAATTCAATATAAAATGTTTTTTACATCAAGATCAAATTTAGACTACGAGTAGTCCCTCTTTCGCTTAGTCCGTCGTATGTGACGCGAAAGAAAACCGCGAGAAAAAAATGGCCGCACAAAATCCTGGCCATTTTTAGCGCGGCCATTTTTTTCTCGCAGTTTTCTTTCGCGTCACGCACGACGGACTTAACGAAAGAGGGACTACTCGTAGTCTAGATCAGATTAGGATTTGGAGTGCAATATGGTGGCCACTACTTTCCTGGCCAAAAAAATTCAAGATGAAGGTAAAGTCTGCACTGGGGGAAAAACATCACACCACCTGAGCTAATCTCAGTTTCCATAACATGACATTACTGGGAGTATTGCTATTTCCCCTTGACAGGCCCCCATAATTGGGATGCCCAGTACACCTGACCTGAGTCAGGTCGACTCTTGATCAAGTCGGGATACTAGTACATGTACAGATGACCCTTCATATCACTGGGCGGAAGGAAGGATTGTAAAAATATAATTTAAGTGTGAAGATTGACCACAAATGCTACATGAATGCCCTGGCCAGCACTCAAACACCGTCTAGCCATCAGGTGAAAGCATGTCTCAAAAAGGTATCAAGGAAACTTCCAAAACCTTACCAGTCAGATCCTAAAAATGCCTGCTCTTCAATAGTAACTTCTGTATTTTTCTTTGTAGCTTTTTTATATTCCTCTACTGCTGCATCCTTTACACTCTGTTTCATGAAAGATAATAACAGTTCTCTACTTCCCATACCATTTACCTCCATTTATTGTTTCAGAGTTATTTATTTTGTTACAGTTTGAATAGATTACAATGAGCCTGTACAATTCAAAACTGCTTTTAACAAATGAATGCAATTTAAATGCCTTGAATTATTGATCTTCATACACCAGTATTGTATAAAAAAATAATAAATCCACTGGGTATACTTAATCTACACAACAGTCCATCTGTTATATAATAGCTTTTTTCTAGGTTGCACAAATTGAGACAACTAAGAGTGTTTTTTCGTGGTATTGAGTATGGATCTCACTGTAATCCTCCAAAGGAAAAAATATGGCAATTGCAATATTTCAACATAATTCTTAGCACACAAAAACTTTAAAGTGCCTATGAAGTAAAAAATAATATTGCTGCTTATTTGAAAGGCTTTTCAAAGTAAACAAGAATGGCATTTTCCTTTTTGGAATGTCTCTTTTCGTTTTAGAGAGATTTACGTTTTTGTAAGGAAAGTGATGATGTCATAGGTGGTTCCACTAAAACAGCACAACACTCAATTGAGAATAACTCTAGAAATATTAAAGCAGTGTTCTTTAAACTTGGC